AATTTAAAGAATACGCCAAAAAACAAAATGAAGAGGAGGATAACCCCAGCCTCTGCATCAAAGTGATACATACAACCATTTTATTAAATTATTCAACAGAACCCGACAAAATGAGTACATTGATCAATCCAAAGCCACCTTTGTCGTGACCATAATCGCTACACCTACCAACTTGATGATGTGCCCCCCGGGTCTCAACACACACCATATAATCTGGTGGCCTCACCAAGCCGCCCACCGGCAAGCGAAGAGCACCAACCAGTCTAGGAGACCCTAAGCGCGCACTGAATGCACAGCTCTAGAATCACATGCTGCCATCTTCCGCCATCCCACCTTCAGGATTGACCAACGCATTCACCTTGCCAGGCCATACTGCCGTCGATGCCACTAGGCGCCAGACAACGCAACCACCTGCGCATGTCCATCAACACGCATCCGTCACCGAGGCTCTACTGCGCCATGCTGTTGAGACCTGTCACCGGCGCCATGGTACAAGCAACACCACACCGCCTCTTGTCCCCACCAGCAAGCATCAGCTCCAAAATGATGCCTCCAAGAGGTAGGAAGGCCCCGAAGACCGGTCATCGTCCGATCTGGGAATCCCAGATCTAGGGTTTCCCCCGGAGCAGCCCGATCAAGGTGAAAACGATTGTAGCCGACGATACCTTCGACAAGGGGAGGACGCCAAAGGCGCCGCCATCGTCCTCCATGACCGAGGTCTACACAGTTTTCACTGAAATCGCGCCATCCCGATCCCACAGTTGACTGGATCTGTGCGGATCCATGCCATGAAGGCGAACGGAGCTGCCGGATTGCCAGCAGAGGGCCTTCAGCCGCCCCTCACCGGCCCTTCCACGCGCCGCTGGCCAGCCAAAAGTACGGGTTGGATAGGGAGCCACCCGACACGTCCCTGCCAACAGCCACACCACCAGCCCTTCCCGGCGACCCTGCAGTGCCGTGGCCACCGCTGACCACCACGCCGTTGCCACGCGCCATTGCGGGAGGCGAGAGGCCGTGCCGCCAGCAACCCAGATCCGGGAAGGTGTCCCCACACCCGTGGGTGCCGCTTCATCCAAACCTACGCGGGAAGGAAGGGAACCTCTGCCATTGCCAATGCCCGGCGGCTTCCTTCAGCGGCGACGGAGGGAGGAATGGATCCGCGGTGACCTGGCGGCTGGGGTTGGGTGTCCGCCCGAGTCACCCAGGCGGGGGTTGACGCGGGGGCAAGTCCTACTTGTACCTCGAGTACGCCAGGATAGATAGGAACAAAATAGGAACTGGGAGCACAAGTGCACAACCAACCTCATGAACTACTAAAGACCACAATGGCCATGGGCACCACGCTGATGGTGATCACGAAGTCAAAAAAGTTGAAAGATCTGTTGAACTGGAATTCCCATGGTGTATGATCGAGCCTTCATTGGGTTGCTCAAGTAATGTTAGGTTTGTTTGCCGAGGCGAAAACCTCCATCTGCTCTTGGATGGCTTGATCTTGCAACGACAACATCTGTCGGTGAAGGCGCTGTCTCGTGTGAACTCTAGGGTGACAACGTGTGCTCGGCTGGTTCCAACAATCTTGCTGTATGCGCGCTGCGTTCTTCTTGAAAGTGCTTTTAATGTATGCCGTTCTGCTGTTACATTTTAATAAATTATGGTTGTGTGCGGTGTGCCCCTTGCAGCGTTGCAAGTGGAGAGCTGGGAGAGTGAATTCCCATTGTCCAAAAACAAAAACAAATCATTGAGTGAGCGTTTGTAGAAGAGAGAATTAGACTACCCACAATGGGAGTAACATAGGTAGTAACATCACACATATCTAGATAAAATAGATGATGTGGCAAGCAATAAATGAAGGAAGAGAGGAAAGTGGTAACATAGCTAGTTACTAGTAGTAGTAGTAACATCACACATATCAAAGCATGATGTGTCTATAGCCTAATAAATGAAGGGTTGCATGTTACCACACATATGTTACTCCCCACTATAGAGGTAGTAACATAGACTACTAACATGTCGATGTTACTACTCTACAGTGGCGAAGACTGGAATAATTTTCAGGTGTGGCGGAGTTTGTAAAAAAGAAAACCATGTATAATATGATTACAAAGGCTCGCTAGAATATTAGATGTATATTTACTCTGCCTCAAATTACTAGTCGTAGGTATGCCTAAGATATAGATGTACTTATACATGTTTTAGTATTAGATACATCCATATCTAGAAAAAGTTAAAGACAAGTAATTTGAGACAGAGGTATTACTTTATATTTAGCAAATAAACGAGGCAAATCCAAAAAATAAGTACTGACACTCAAAATACATCACTAGATTTAAATCATATGGATGAATGTTCACCAATTTAATAAAGGAAATTAATCCATTAGTATTTCAACAAAGGGAAGGCACTAGATAAACTAAAATCAGAGAACGTAATTACGTATATTTGATCTGATATAGTCCAATTTCAGTTAACATATTCGCAAACAAAAAACAATTTCAGTTAACGTGGCGCTGTCTGCTCACCCTCGCGGCCTCGCCGAGTCGGCGTTGCCATATACCGGTCAGAGCCTCGCCTCGCCGGTGAACGGCCGCCACCTGCCACTGGCGCCACCGCCCCGGCGTACTAGAACAAGTACACGCACAGTCGGAACTCGGAAGGTTTCAGTCATAATCCATGTACAGACGTGACGCGTAGTCAAGCCACGGACTCGACCCATCAGCAGCTAAGCCCAGCTTAAAACTTAAATACTGTATCAAACTAATACTGTACGTACGTACTTGGGTCGAAGTTTAGGTATGGCATGCGCCAAACCTCGCCAGATAGCTGGCTTCGCCACTGCTACTCTATGTTACTACCCATTGTGGCTAGTCTTATAGATCTCCACCAACGGCCATCCCTTCTGTTTAAAGAAGTTATATACTCTCTTGGTCTCAAAATAAGTGTCTACCCCGATCGCCCTTGACAATTTGGAGGATAGAAGTGTCATGTGGCCTTGCACATCTCGATGACATTGTGAGGATAGATTAGAAGAGTAGGTTTAGAGACCTAATATTCATGTCCCCTTGTATGTCTCGAGGTCATCATGAAGATAGACTAATACAAGGAGAGCAGGTTTAGAGCAAGTGTTGGTTTATAGACGATGTCCATGTTGCCCTGTACATCTCGAGGATTGATAGTAGTACAATACAAGAGTACTTGTGAGACGGAGAGAGTACTTTATTGAAAACACAACTTCGTTAAACAGAGAAGAGACAAGACTTCGCACCTGTAGTTCAGTACTATTAAGAGTGCACCAGATAGGAGTTGGGAGCAGAACCAACCTCATACACTCCATCCAACTCTCAGACCCCATGGACGCCAAGCTGATGGTGGCCACGGACCCTGGCGATGTCAAGAAGTTGAAGGATGTCCTCAACAAGGAGGATGCTGTGGCGATGGTCGTCGTGACGGCGAGGAGCAAGAAGCCTTCCGAGGAGGACCGACTCCTTGCTGGTAACATCAATCCCCTGCTGCTAATGTCGGCGCGTATGGGCTCATGGGAGGCGCTGAATAATCTTCTCGATAGCGAAGACGCAAAAAAGCCACCAATGATGATTCCTACTCAAGAATTTCTTGAATTTCTAGCGGGAGTTGGCAGGGCCCACGGAAGAGTTGCTGCTCGTGATGTGGAAGAGGGCGGCGACCACCAGCCTGCTGCTTCGCTTGCAGATGGAGCACTCCTCAAGGGCGTCACTCCTGATGGGGATACGGCACTACATGCCGTGGCCAGCAATGGAGATGGGCAGGATTTCTTGAAGTATGCCGGCATCATCTATGATCGGGACAGGGGCCTCCTGTTTGCGAAGAATCACAAGGGTGACACACCCTTGCATTATGCTGCTCGAGCTGGGAGATCCGAAATGGTTTCTCATCTCATTGATCTAGCTGAAAGTGAGGGTCCCGACACGAAGCTCAGGCTCTTGAGGATGGAAAATGAGCTTCACGAGACAGCCCTGCACGAGGCTGTTCGGGTTGAAGACGGTAGAATTCTGGATCAGAAGCACAGACGCGCATTTGTTAATGCCGCTGATCCCGCCGGAGAAGAAAAGAACAAAGATGATGCTGACGGCGCACCAGCAGAAGAGAAAAATATAGTTAAGCTGCTGATTGGTGCTGATCCTGAATTGGCTAATTATCCTGCAGTTGGCATTTCACCCTTGTACCTAGCCATCATGCTGGAGAAGAGTACAATTGCACTGACCCTATATGATATGAGTGGTGGCAATCTCTCATATTCCGGAGCACATGGACGAAATGCCTTGCATCTTGCTATTCTTCGAGACACAGGTACCCACTAAATGCATTTATATATTTTTTTTGGAATTTGCCTGCCCATAATATTTACTAACTTATGTTGTCCGTTGGATCAATAAATTGCCATGGTTTAGAATAGAAAAATAGTGGGATTAGATTTTACGTACACCCCATTTAATTTAGAGAAAATTGTATTTTCGGTCTCTCAACTCTAAAACAAGACATATTGCACTCTTATAACTCTTCAAAAAACTGTGCAAGTTTAGGGCCAGTAATAGGCGCCGGCGCACCGGCCCAAAAGTTTCGGCCAGTCGTCACCCTGCCGTCCGATACAGTAGCGCACAGCCGTTTGATTTGATCCGCAGCAGCTTCCTCCTTATCCCGTCTTCCTGTAGACCCCCATCGCCTCCTGCTTGCAGCTCCACGTCGGCTAGCCGTCGCCGGCCGTCACCCCTCCCACCCCCGCGCTCGCCGCAAGTAACGTCTACCCATCGTCCAGGCCGTGAGTGACGAGCACCGGCGAGGACCGTTCCCCACCGCCGGGATTGCAACACGGCTGCCAGTGGATCGTAGGGCGTGGTCACTATGGATGTAGCTCTGAGGCCTGCCGGTTCTAGCTCGCGGGCGCCATGGTTGCAGCAGATCTCACGTCGCCGGCTCCGGCTTGCCGCCCTCGTCAACTAGCACCATCATGTTCTCAGCGAAAAAATCTGAGAAAGCAAAAAATCTTGATGGTCAGTTGAAGCAAAAAAAGTGTCTGGTTCCAGCTAGAATTAACAAAGGTTCCAGCTAAAAAAGACACAACAACAAACTCCAACAAATGTTTGATGTAGCAAATGAACTAGCTGGTTCCAGTAAAAAGGTGCGCTGGTTCCAGCAAAAAAAGAATGTCGCCGTCGTGTTCCCAGCGAAAAATCTTAGAAAACAAAGAACTCAATGGTCGGTTGAAGCAATAAGATTTACCGGTTCCATCCAGAATTTACCATGGTTACAGCAATAAAGACATAGCAGCAAACCCAAACAAATCGGATGTAGCAAATGAACTAGCCGGTTCCAGTAAAAAACTTTACTGGTTCCAGCAAAAAAAAAAAAATTGCCGGCGAGGGTGTGTTTTGGGTCCAGCGAAAGTGCATGTAGCCTTGCTAATTGGAGCAAACATCGACGCCTGTTCCAGCAAAAGTGCTGGCCAGTGGCTTGCAGCAAACTCACGCCGTGGCATCTCTGTCGCGCCGCCGTCAGTGGTTTGCCGCCAAAAAGCTGAAACGCCTCGCCGCGTCGGGTCGCCGCCGTTCGCGGATGGCGGTGGTGTAGCCGCGCGGCAGCCAGCGCATGTGGGGCAAGAGTAGAGAGGGGAGGAAGATCCTCGCGAGAGGCCATCCATGGGAGCTCGCGAGAGCTTGTTGGTTGCAGAGGAGAAAGAGCGGCGGTGCTCATCGCCGGCTGCGCACGGACGATGGCGGAAGAGAGATGGGGAATGGATGCAACTGTGTTGGAGTAGAAAAATGAGTGGAGAAAAGCAACTCACACGATAAGATAAGGCTGGTCAAAGCGGTGTGCGGTCGTGGCTCAACTGGCGCGAGAAGATGCCCATGGGGATGGTGGCGGAGCTGGCCAGGGCCAGGGAACCTCGTTGGCCGTGAGTGAAGCTGGAGTTCATCCCATTGTTCCCTCTGAACCAGGCTTTCGTCTTGCTTTATGGATAAAGCAATTACCATGTCACTATCTTTTACCTTACGATGTTAAGGTGCCTCGTGTGTGACCCTGTCGTCACTGCTCCAGTCCAGGGTGAGCCGGGGCGCTAACCCTACTCCCTGCCGCCACCACCCCCTCCACCCTCCCCTCTCCCCTTGTCGTCCCAAGAGGTGGCCGCCTGGAAAGCCCATGCGCCGTCGGTGAAGGGGATGGCAGGGATCTCGTGTCCTGCGACTGTGGCCCAGCTACTTGGAGGGGATGTGCAAGGCGGTGCGAGATCTTCCTTCAGCGGCAGGGCGTCGCTCCAACGACAACGTGGGGATGACAGACTCTAGGGTCGGACGGATCTATGGTGCGAAGGCCTCAGAGCGGCGGCTCCGGACACGGTGGCGGCGGCATCCCCTCCGTCAGGGTGACAGGTCAGAAGGCGGCTTCATCTGGTGGTGTCTGGGGGCGGTAGATCAAGGGATCCCACACTCGGGTTCGTTGCTGGGGGCGCGTTGCGGCCAGAGCTCTCTCCGGCGTCTACGACGCTTGCTGCGGGAGATCTGCAACCCTTCGGGGTTTGTAGATCGGAAGTCAGTTGTGGGTTCGGGGAGGTGTGGCCGCCGGTGAAAACCGTGCAGACTTTGGTCATGGTGGATGATGGTAGCGTATTTGCGTGGTTTCCTTGTTGGAGGCATCGTTGCTGCAATTGTCATCTTCCTGCCCAGGATGCTTTGGGGAAGCCCTAGATCCGGTTCTCCCGGATTAGAGCACGACGATGCGTGACGCCGTTTACCCTCCTGGGCATCTTTTTTTGAAGCATGTGCTGGCTGGAGGGGTCTTGAGGTGGAGCGGCATGGTCTCGTGGTCTTACGAGTTGAAGACGGCGAGTCTCGGCGGCATGGTGTAGCCGAGTGTCGAAGGCAGACTCTTGAAGATGGAGTGAGGCGTGGCACGGTCTGGCGTGGTGGTGGCGTTGACGGGCCTAGCTAGGTCTTTTCATTGATACATGCACCAAAGATGGGTTAGCTAAAGATGGCGGCGGCGACTTCTAGAGCGTGCACATGCGGTGTGTTCTAAGTGTTTGTTGGACCGGTGCTCTAGTTGTAAATGATCTGTGTAGGGGCAAGGTCAGTGCAAGCGTCCCTGATCATGAGCACCAGCATCATCAAGGTTGTGGCAGTGCGACATTTTTCGCCTAGAAGGTGGATTCAGAAAGATCGATGCTTTTATCTTGTAAGGCTTTATTGAATAATTTAGCCAGGTCCAGGGCCTCCCACTCAGGCCCCAAAGCCTCACGAACAAGGCACCAAACAAAATGAGCAACGGGACAGCCAAACAAGATGTGGGTCCCTGTCTGTGAACCACCACAAAGTGTTGGGGAATGTTGCAGAAAATTAAAAAATTTCCTACGGTTTCACCAAGATCCATCTATGAGTTCATCTAAGCAACGAGTCATGGGAGAGAGTTTGCATCTACATACCACTTGTAGATCGCTTGCGGAAGCTTGCAAGGTGATGATGGAGTCGTACTCGACGTGATTCGAATCACCGATGACCAAGTGCTGAACGGACAGCACCTCCGCGTTCAACACACGTACGGTATGGGTGACGTCTCCTCCGTCTTGATCCAGCAAGGAGGAAGGAGAGGTTGAGGAAGACAGCTCCACCGGCAACACGACGGCGTGGTGATGGTGGAGAAGCAGTACTCCGACAGGGCTTCGCCGAGCACACAACGGAGGAGGAGAGGTGTTGGGGAGGGGAGGGCTGCGCCTTGGCTTGTGGTGCGGCTGCCCTCCCCTCACCCCTCTATTTATAGGGGGAAGGGAGAAGGGGGCCGGCCCTCTAGATCCCATCTAGAGGGGGGGGGGGGCGGCGGCCAAGGGGAGGGGGAACTTGCCCCCCAAGCAAGGGGGGCGCCCCCTCTAGGGTTCCCCCCTCAACCCTAGGCACAAGGGCCCAAGGGAGGGGGTGCGCCCAGCCCACCAGGGGCTGGCCAACTCCTACGCAGCCCAAGTGGCCCCCCGGGAGGGGTGGCCCCTCCCGGTGGACCTCCGGAACCCTTCCGGTGGCCCCGGTACAATACCGGTACGCCCCCGAAACTTTCCGGTGTCCTTTTAACAACTTCCCATATATAAATCTTTACCTCCGGACCCTTCCGGAACTCCTCGTGACGTTCGGGATCTTATCCGGGACTCCGAACAACATTCGGTAGTCACATACTAGTCTTCCTAATAACCCTAGCGTCACCGAACCTTAAGTGTGTAGACCCTACGGGTTCGGGAGACACGCAGACATGACCGAGATGAATCTCGGGCAATAACCAACAGCGGGGTCTGGATACCCATGTTGGCTCCCACATGCTCCTCGATGATTTCATCGGTTGAACCACGATGTCGAGGATTCGATCAAAAACCCTGTATACAATTCCCTTTGTCAATCGGTACGTTACTTGCCCGAGACTCGATCGTCGGTATCCCAATACCTTGTTCAGTCTCGTTACCGGCAAGTCACTTTACTCGTACCGTAATGCATGATCCCGTGGCCAACACCTTGGTCACCTTGAGCTCATTATGATGATGCATTACCGAGTGGGCCCAGAGATACCTCTCCGTCATACGGAGTGACAAATCCCAGTCTCGATCCGTGTCAACCCAATAGATACTTTCGGAGATACCTGTAGTGCACCTTTATAGTCACCCAGTTACGTTGTGACGTTTGATACACCCAAAGCACTCCTACGGTATCCAGGAGTTACACGATCTGATGGTCGAAGGAAGAGATACTTGACATTGGCAAAGCTCTAGCAAACGAACTACACGATCTTTTATGCTATGCTTAGGATTGGGTCTTGTCCATCACATCATTCTCCTAATGATGTGATCCCGTTATGAACGACATCCAATGTCCATAGTCAGGAAACCATGACTATCTGTTGATCACAACGAGCTAGTCAACTAGAGGCTCACTAGGGACATATTGTGGTCTATGTGTTCACACGTGTATTACGATTTCCGAATAATACAGTTATAGCATGAACAAAAGACAATTATCATGAACAATGAAATATAATAATACTTTTATTATTGCCTCTAGGGCATATTTCCAACAGTCTCCCACTTGCACTAGAGTCCCCAATCTAGTTACATTGTGATGAATCAAACACCCATAGAGTTCTGGTGTTGATCATGTTTTGCCCGCGAGAGAGGTTTAGTCAACGGATCTGCGACATTCAGATCCGTGTGCACTTTGCAAATCTCTATGTCTCCATCTTGAACATTTTCACGGATGGAGTTGAAACGACGCTTGATGTGCCTGGTCTTCTTGTGAAACCTGGGCTCCTTGGCAAGGACAATA